GTTCGTTGCTTGAAGTGGATCAATAAAACATAGAGCCATCAAAGCAAAGCTATTACTCACGTCGAGTAAGCTGAACGACCAGGCCAACCACGCAAAAACTGCGGAGCTAGATGTGCGGCACGCACAATGCATTGCTTTCGATTGGAGAGAGCGAGCATAAAGCAGTAAGGAGTTGTTGGCCAAACTTTCGGCAGATAGGTCTACTCGGGAGCGTAAGGGGTAGCAACCCATGGCGGAGCGCACATGAGAGGCTGGACGTTGGTGTACGCTCCATCGCGGCGTGTGAGTAGGATCTTAGGCTATGCAAGTCGTCCCTGAACTTATTGTGGTGAAAATGACCTCCCAGGAGGAAAGTAGCTTGTACCGCGGGACTTCGGAGATGATCAATTGAGTGGTCGGGGGACGTCTGGGTGTTTACTAAGCAGAGCGCCTGGCACAAGACTGGGGTTCTTGTGCCAGGAGGTGTGAACTTGGATCCAGACTACGAGCCTATGTTGGACGCGCTATTTAGCGTCGGTGAGCCGGCAAAAGAACTGAAAGGAACCACAATCCCCGCAGGACGCTCGGATTGGGAAGGCCGAGTATTCCGTATACGTTCCTGAAAAAGCACGAAAAACATATGGCCACGGTCCAGTTCCCGTAGAGATCATGAGGTTGGTGAAGAAGCCGGGAGGATGGAAGCAGAAACTGTGGAAGGGAGACAAGTTGGAGCTGCTGCTGTTTGGGATTCCAAGGGACATGACGAGGATAGAGTTCAAGAACTGTTGTGACAGGGAGGGACTGCACTGCCTAGCAAGGGGACAAGTAGGCAGAGAACATGAACACTTCCGGGTGAAATTGACCAAGGGAGACAGCCAAGAGTGCTTGGGGGTTGATATCGAGAAGCTGTCGAACTACGTAAGGAAGTTTGGATGGAGGGTTTGCATCGCGAACATGATAGAAACAGAGAAGGTAAGGAGACAAGAGGCGAGGGCGACGGAGGCGAAGAAAGGACCGAGCAGGGCAGTCGAGCAAGCAAGTCAGAAGAAGTCCGAGAAGAAGCGGAAGGCGAACGATGGAGTGCGCAAAATCTCCAATAGGGAAAAGCGCAAGCTGAGAGTCGGGTCGTGGAACGTGTGCGGGTTCGCAAGGAGTGAGCGCAAGCGGTTGGAAATAGTGGACCAAGTAGAACAAAGCGATCTAGATGTAGTGGGGATCCAAGAGACGTGGGAATTGAAGGATGGGGACGTGGTAAGCAAACTAGGGAAATACCGGTGGGTAGGGAAGGCAAGAAAGGGCTTAGACCCGAAGAAAAGGGGGGAGGGGGGAGTCGGATTCCTGGTCAAGGAACACTTGTTTGACGTGGTGGAAGTAGTGGTGAAAACGGAGTTCGAGGAAAGCCTATGGCTTAAGATACCTGGGGAGCGGGGTGAGAAAGATTTGTTTCTAGGGAACGTATACGTCCCACCGTCGTCGAAGAAAGTCGCAAGCAAGGCGCAGGAGAACTTTGGACAAATTGGGGAAGATGTCCAGAGGTTCAGTAGGAAGGGAGAAGTTGTCATGGTGGGCGATTTCAACTCCAGAGTAGGGAAAGCTTCCAGTAGAGGACAGGCGATCGGGCAGCACGGAGAAGACAAAGTGAATGACAACGGAGTGAGGATGCTTGAATTCTTGGGAAGCAACGAACTGATGGTGTTGAACGGTAGGAGGGAATGCGATAAGCCGGAGTTCACAAGGCAACGGGCAGTTTGCAATGAATACTCAATCCTCGACTACATCCTGGTAGATAGGGGGAGCACGCAGATCCCAGAGCTGCACGTAAGTGCGATAGATATAGGTTCGACCGACCACTTCCTCATATGGGCAAACATCGACCGATCTAGAAAGATCAAGAGTAAGAAACAGAGGAAAGTGTTCCGGTGGAAGGTAGAGCGTTTGGGAGACGATGGGACACGGGATGAATTCCAGAAGGGGCTGGCTGGTAGTGTAGAATCCTTCAGGAAACTGCTGAGAAGCGTCGAAGACGGACAGGTAGACGTACAGGCAGCAGGGGACAGGGTGATTGAAGGGTGGGAGTCCATCGTGAACGCAACGGCAGAGAGAGTAGTGGGAAAGAAGGTGGTACGATGTGGGGTATCGGTTAAGTGGTGGGATGACGAGCTGAAAGAAGAAATAGGGGAACGTAGAGAAGTCTTCAAGCAGTACCTGAGTGAGGCGTCTGAGGAGAGTTGGGAAAAGTACAGGGCCAAGAGAAAACAGGTGAAGGGACTAGTGAAAAAGAAGAAAAAGTGTATTTGGGACGAAGTAGTGCAGAAGGCCAACGGAGGCCTGGAGGGAAACGTCAAGCAGATGTGGGAAGGGATTAGTGGAATGGTAAAAAAGACCGCGCAAGGGGGGGATACAGGGGTAGCAACTTTGCGAGGTGTGAACGGTGGATTAGTCAGCAGTGGGAAGGGAAAAAGGGAAGTTCTAGCAGGACACTACAAGAGACTTGGAGTGCCCTCGGAGAATGAAGCTTTTGACCAAGCGTTTAAGAAGGAGGTGGACGCATGGGCCCAAAAAGAAGAAGAGACATCGAAGGCAGACGTTGGGAACGTAGAACTAGAAAAGGAGTTCACTGAGGACGAGGTTGAGGCGTGTGTGAACAAGCTGAAGTGCCACAAAGCAGCAGGAGCGGATGGGATAGTCAACGAGTTCATGAAGTTTGGGGGGAAGGGGATGATCCAGCTGATGGTACTGCTGTACAATTGGGTGTGGAAAAACGAGTATACGCCAAGTAGATGGAGGGAAGGAGTGGTTGTGAACTTGTTCAAGAAAGGAGACAAGACTGACTCAGGAAACTACAGGGGGATCACACTGTTGAACACAGTAGGAACAATGTTCTGCAAGCTGCTGAACGATATGATAGTGGGAGTATTGGAGAAGGAACATAGCATTAGTGAGGGCCAGGCAGGTTTCCGCAAGAAGAGGGGGTGCGTAGACCACGTGTTCACGGTAGGGAGAATCATGCCAGGTAGAAAGATGGCGGGAAAGCCGACGTATTGCTTCTTCCTGGACGTGAAAAAGGCATACGACACCGTGTGGAGAAATGGGTTGTGGAAACAACTGTCCAAATACGGGATCAAGGGGAAAATGTGGAGAGTGCTGAAGAAGATGACAGAGTGTACGAAAAGCGCGGTCATGCTAGACGGAGAACTGTCAAAATTCTTCGACATTGAGCAGGGGGTCCCACAAGGTTGCACGCTGTCCCCAACATTGTTCCAGGTGTTCTATCAACGGTCTGTTGGAAGTCGTAGAGGCAGTCCGGAAGTGAGTAAAGTAGGGGACACGGAAACGTCGGTTTCAGGAATGCTGTTTGCGGATGATTTTGTCGGTATGTCGGACACCCCTGAGGGACTGCAACTGCAAATTGACGCGGCGAAGAAGTTTACTGATAAGTGGAGATTGTCTGCCAACGTTCAGAAGAGTGCCGTCATGGTATGCAACGAGAACAAGGAGGAACCAGTAGAACATAGATGGAAGTGGGGGATCGAGGAGATTGCAGTAGTGGACCAGTACACATACCTTGGAGTAGAGATCGCAAAAGACTGCTCGTGGAATGCACACATGTCCAAGGTAGCTGATAAGGGCAAAGCACGAGCAGGGAAGCTGCATCCAATACTCGCAAACCGGCACCTCGATACACGCATCAAATTGACGGTTTTGAAGAGCGTAATCGTACCGCCGCTAGAGTACGCCGGAGAAGTATGGGAAGGAAATAAGAAGGTAGTGAAAGAACTCGAGGCGGCGCAGATGAAAGCAGCGAAAACCATCCTAGGATGCTCCAGGCGCACAAGTAATGCAGCCGTGAGGGCAGAATTGGGGATCCAATCCCTACGGTCGGGAAGAGACGCGAGGAAGCTGACCTGGCAGTATCGCATGTGCGGGATGGGAGAGGAGAGGTTGCCGAGAATTGTATGGGAGGCGAAGTGGGCAAACAAAAAGAGGGGTAGACAACCCACGGAATGGGTCAAGGTTGTAGAGGACGTATGGAAGGGGCTCGACATCGACGAAGATGAAACGCTGGAAACGGAGGGTCTACAGGGGTTCAAGGAGAAGATATCTGTTGCTTGTGCCGAGAGAGAAGAACAGAATCTGAGGAAAGAATCCAAGGATAAGGAGGGTCTAGAAGTGTACGGAATGTTGAAGGAAGGAATAGGGTTCAAGGACTACCTACATGGACCAATGGATGCAGGAACAAAGCTTAAGGTCAAATTCAGGACCGGGGACATAGGCCTTCGAGAACGTCGACGAAGACATAGGACGGTAGACGAGGAAGACGACGAGTTCAAATGTGATTGCGGCTTCGAATGCGAAGACCGTGTTCATGTAGTCGCGGAATGTCCGTTGTACAAGAAGAAGAGGGAAGTGTACGTGAGTGAGCTGGGAAAATTAGATGGGACGTACAGGGAGATCTTTGAGACATGGAATAGAGAGGAAAGCACGGTAGCTGTACTGGGGCATAGGAGGTGGGTTGAAAAGGCGGCAAGGGATATCGTTAGGATAGACAGACTAGGGAAGACATTTTTGAGCAACCTTTGGCAAAGTAGAAAGGAACGATTGGCCATCGGTGATCGGTCCTGTGGGAACAATGCTCCGTCCCCTCGAGGACGCGTGGTCAATGGTCTAACCGCTAAGGCATGCAAAACATAAGAGTACGCCCCCCCCCCCCCCCCCTCAATCTCAACCTGACAACGCCATCGTACAGACACGATTTCCCCGAAGCTCACCTTGAAACCGTCAACGTACAGGTCCGCCGCCGCGATCGCGCCGCTGACCCCTCCCCCGATCGTCTCCTACTCCCAAGACTCCTTGCTGGCCTCCCCGCCCCACACGTCCTCCCCGGGCATCAGCTCCTGGTCGCCCTCCTTACCGCAACCGCTGCCGCCCTTTACCCCTCCGGACCTACTACCCCCCTTCCCACCGGCGGGGCCCCCGACACCACCCCCCCCCTCGGTAATCGTCTCCGGGACCCCCCTCCCAACGTTGGTCCCCTCCACCCGCTTCTTCCCCCATAGCGCGTACGCCATCGCCCTGAGGTCGCCCTCCCTCCGGGAGGCCAGCTTCCCGTCGCCTTTGGCGCGCTCGTCCCCTTCCCCGCCCCCGTCGGGCAGCCGCGGCTGCAGATAAGGGGGCAGGTGCCCGCCCATGTAACCGTTGTGGTGCATCCACGCGAGGTAGGCGTAGCATCCCGGGTCCCCGTTCCTAACCGCCTTCCACATGAGCGGCGCTCCGCGGTCGGTCGGTCGGTCGGTCGGTAGCGCGGTGGCGGACGGGGGTGTTGTATTTTTTTCGGAAGCGAAGTCAGAGGTCGGCGGAATAAAGGAGGTGTGGACAAGAGGGAGAGAGAGAGAGCGGGGGTGGTGAAATCATTTGCAACGGGTTGGTGGCCAAAAACAAAAGCAAAAACCGAGATAGAAGTAACATAGGGTGGTTCGTCCATATCGATGTGGTGACTGCCGCTGGTAGCAAATGTGGTGAACGTGCTCGCATGGCAACGGATTTTGGATAAATATACGGGGGGCATCACGCGGGGGGCGGGGCGCGCATTGAAAACAACGGGCAATACCGCACTTCTAGAGTGGGGATGGACATACTCGACGCATAAATGGCGCCGTTCCTCAGTCACGAGGAAAGGACAGCGACGCGTGTACCTACAAACAACGTTTCTCTCCCCATCTCTCCCTCTCCCCGTCTCTCTTTCTCGATCCCACCTGTTCCGCTTTCGCGAAGTCCGGGGTGATGCCCGTCTCCTCCGAGCCGACCATGTGGAGGTACCCCATCATCATCGTAGCGGAGGGCTGACGATCGCAATGTATGCATCGCCAATGCAGTTTCGCGTCATGTATAAACAAACCGCAACGGGCGGATGGCAGCAAGAGGTTACATCTTGATGGTGCTCCCGAGGTTTTCGGATTCGTCGTGACAGTTGCTGAGAAACGAACAAAATTTCATGTACGTAGCAACGGCGCAAGCATCTCGCCACACGAACGGACTGAAAGTTTCCCATGCGGCAGCACAAAACAAAAGAGAAAAAACGAAAGAGGGTCAGCCGCAACACTCTCTCCAACCCCCAACAAGACACATAGCAGTCGCTGGTGTTCGTAGGGTGGCGACACTGGACGTGCTGCAAAATGTGTCCCAGAATCCCACCCCCCCACCCCGAAAGCATGCATTCGCAAAAAACTCTGCTACATATAGAGGGGGATTAAAACAAACACTCACATCGCCAGCTTCTGCCCTCAGCAGCATGTCGTCCGCAAAAGCCATATCCCCTCGCGCCGGTCCGCCTTGCCCGCCACCACACCCTCCACCTCCGCCAGCTGCGGCGCCCCAAGGAAGGTAACCTACCCCCCCGGCACCGCCACCTCCTCCGCCGCCGCCGCCGCCGGCGGCCACGCCCCATGCCCCTAAGCCATGGTCGACGCCGAGGCGAGACACGTCCGCGAGAGGGTATAGATCCTGGGAGGCGTCCTCCAAGCCCTGCAGGGGGGGTCGTGGGTGAATTGGGGGGGGGGGGGGGGGGG